AATTTCTTTTCTTTAGCAGCTTTTAGTATACTGTTCCTGTGCTGAATTTCTGGGATCTTGATTATTATATGTCTGGGTGTGGTTTTCATTGGGTTGATGTTATTTGGAGTTCTACATGCTTCAGTTAACTGAATGTCAGATTGTTTCCCCATATTTGGGAAGTTTTCTGCTATTACTTCTGCCCATATTCTTTTTGTATCATTTGTATTGACTCCTTTCTCATTGATACCTATTGCGTTTTCCATCTTTGCATCGTCTTGCAGATGTTGAACTATTTTTTCCTGCATCCTAGTTGTTTTTAAGAGATCTTTTCTTACCTTTTCACTAGCTGCAATGGTGTCTTCAAGGTCTAAATTTCTATTTTTACTTTCATTCGAGCAGTTTTGCCAGTTTGTGATTGAGGTTTTAATTTCTTTTATATTTGAATCTGCTTCATGCATTTTATTTCTTTCCTATATTGCACATTGAAGGATTTCATCATTTTTATATTCTCTATTTTTTTAATCAGTGTCTTCTTTAGAAACACCTAGTACTTCTTTCATTATAGTTATTTCTTTTTTTACTTCAGAAATTATTTCTGATCTGATTTCCTCTATACCTTTTTGCAGTTGTTTCTTTACTTCAGACACTATTATGTCAGAGATTTCAGGTGTGTGATTTCCAGTTTCTTCTATCCTGTTGTCTCCTGCATTTGTTCTGGGTGGGCTCGGGGCCTGAGAATGCATTTTGCTCCTTCTCTTTGTCATTTTGTATAGCACTGTCTTCTGATTTTTGGTGTAGCGCATTGGTAGAGTTATTACCTTAGCACCAGGTCTGGATCTGCCAAGTTTAAACTCGTCCAGGTGGGTGTGGCTTGGGTCTGGCTGCTGTGCTCCACTTCTTCCTGCTGCAGCCCTGGAGGTGAACCTTCTGTGCCACTCTGGCAAGATGGTCTGCTCCTGGATCAGCTGGGTGGGTCTTGCTTCTAGCCTCTCTGCAGGGGGTTCTGCCCCAGGGCTCCACACTGGCCCTGTCTGATAGAGTAAGTTCCACACACCTGCCTGGCCTGGCTGTTGGTTGGAATGAGGATCAGGCAGACCGACAGGCAGTCCCACTCACAAGCTGGGCCTGGGCACTGGCTGGAATGAGGATCCCGTAGGCCCCGGGCAGTCCCCCACACACAGCCAGACCTGCACGCTGGCTGGAATGAGGATCCAGAGGGCCCCCGTCAGGTCCCTCTCAGACGCCAGGCCTGTGGGCTGGCTGGAATGAGGATCTGGTGGGCCCCGGGTGGTCCCCCACACACGCAGGGCCTGGGTGCTGCCTGGAATCTAAATGCCTAGATCTTGTACTTTTAACTAATTTAAAGTTAACAATACATAACATATTAACCACTGTTATGCTCCTATTATCATGTTTTGATTTTTTTTTTTTCTCTTAACGAGACATTTAAAACAAAAAGAATGAATGTGACACGTGAATCATTCACTGGAAACAATTCGTTCCTAAGTCGGGGGTTCTGTACACAGAAGGCCTGCATGGGGTAGCTGCTCCTTTTCCTTCCCATGGGTCTGGGTTGGGAATAAAATGCTTACCCCATGTGACCAAAAGCATTCTTGGGCTTTGTGAGGCTGAGCAAGGAATCAGAGGAGGCTTCCATGTGCTCCCTACAGCCCTTGTGCCTTTTTTGGCCTCTTGGATTCTGCTGCTTTCTTTCCTTTGTTTTTCTCCCCAGCAAATTCTAAAGAAGGATTTAAAGGTAGACTGCAGACTCCCTTTGAGTGGTAACATAAAATGCACGCTAGTGAGTGCTTTGTGTACTTGGATTTGGTTGGGCCTGGAGCTCTGCTCATTGCTTGCCTGGAGGCTGCTGGCTGGAAACCTCAGTTTCCCGATGTGTGCACCTCCCATGGGCCTCTTCTTCTGGTGTCTCAACTTCAGGAGAGCAAGGTGGAAGCCACTCTCCTTACGGTCCTCTCTGTTGCCTTCACTGTCATCCGCTGTGGTCCTGCTCCCCAACCTGGAGACATGTGGGAAGGCCGTACACAAGGCAGAGAGTCCTGGGACCCTTGGAGACCAGCTGTGCTTGGAGCAGTGGGTCTTGCTGGCCATTTCTGGCGCCTGTGGTCTGGCATGAGCCACACCACTCCACTGCTGGGTCTTCGTCTTCTCCCTCCAGCGGCTGAGCAGTGTGTGCTCACATCCGAGGTTCCTGCTAGGCAGCACAGGCCTGAGCTCCGCAGCCTTTCTGGGCTCCCAGGCTGGACTGTCCCGTTCCAGCCATTTAGTGTCCCTGTGCTTCCGTTTCCTCCTCTTAAGATGGGGTCACAGCCTTTTACGTTTGAATATTAAATGAGACAATATGTGTAAAGCGTGCAGTTTAAGGAAATACTCAGGAGGTCGCTCTTATCACCTGCCTGCCGTGGGCCTCACACATGTAGTAGGTGCTCTGCGCTCAGCAGCTCTACTTGGACTTTACAGATCTGTTGAAATTCGAAAAAAATCATCTTCAGATCTTTGAATTCTGTTTAGATATCACTGGAGCAAAGCTTTCAGAAAACCTGCATAGGCAGAGCAGGATTGCTTCATTTTAATGTAACTGTATACTCCATGATACAAAAATGTATTTTCTATTTAATATTAGTTCTTTGCTTGCTAATGGAATTTTATTTCAGCTTGTTGTCATTTTATACCTGCAGGGTAAGAATCAAATGTGTTAAATATAATTTGTTTGGAATACTCATTATTTTGAAGAGTTCATATATTTCTCAATATTTTTGGGCGATGAAAGGCCCTGTGTGGTTTTTCTTTCTGAGATGTTTCATAAGTGAAAATTCCCCTTTTGCTTCCAACTTGTCTAGGTGTCTGTAGGGTTTTTCCTGTGCATCTTCTGTCCGTTTTTGTTTTTGGTGCTGGGGGTCAAGCAATGCTTGCCCCAGCTAGCATGAGACCTGCACCTGTCCCTCGGCCTACGTGAGCCCTTTTCCATCCTAAGATACTAGGGGCAATTAAAGAAGTTTTCATTTTGATAATTACATTTTGGTTCTTTTACCCTGAATATTATATGCAATAAAAAGCTGTTCTCACAAACTTGTCCTAAGACACGAGGTATGCAGCATGAAAGCTGGGGCTATAGTCTTGGCTTTCAAACCTCTTTCCTGGGACTCCTCTGGAGAAGCAGGTGTTCTGGGAAGCCAGCCTGCTAGTGCCAGCGTGGCCTGTGGCGCCCCTGTCCATTCCCCCATGGCTGGTGTTCCGTGTCACCCCCTCCACTGAGGCTGGCGGGATGGGATGGGGTGGGATGTTAGCCAGGCTGTTGGAGGGGAGCACCTGGGTGAGCCAGGTTACCTAGAAATTTTCTGAATGCTTGAGGCTTAGAACTCAGTTTGTGTTTATAGCTTACTAATGTACTGACGTTTGTCATTTTCCTGTAATGCAATTCACAGTTCTCTCTTCTGTTTAGTTTTCACAGTACCTTCATGAAAATGCATCCTATGTCCGCCCTCTTGAGGAAGGAATGCTTCATTTGTTTGAAAGTATTACAGAAGATACTGTGACTGTCTTGGTAAATGCACTGTTTTATTTCTGGAAACAAGAGTTCCATTTTGTCTAATAGCACTTTTAACTAAGAAATTATTTTTCTTTTCCAGGAGACAACTGTGAAATTGAAAACATTCTCAGAACATTTGACTTCCTACATATGTTTCCTTAGGAAGATTCTTCCTTATCAGTTAAAAAGGTACTTCTCCTGGAGCTCAGGAAGATTGGAAGTATGAGTGGGCGCTCCCTCACTCTGGAGTTAATAAAACTGTAGCGTTCTGCTCTTAAGCTTTGCCTGACCACTTCGCCCTAGCCATTTTGAGATTCTTTTTTTTTTTTTTTTTTTTTTTTTTTTGGCAGGACTGGGGATTGAACTCAGGCCCTTGCACTTGCCAGGCAAGCGTTTATTCTACTGAGCTATGTCCCCAGCCCCACCATTTCAAAATTCATTGAAAAGAAAAGTGTGGCTGAGTAGTATAAACTGGTATTGAGAAAACTGAGGCGGTATGGTGGTTCACACCTGTCATCCCAGCTACCTAAGAGGCTGAGGCAGGAAGACAACAAGTTTGGGGCCAGCCTGGCACTTAGTGAAAATGTTTCAAAATAAAAATTAAAATAGAGCTGGGTTTGCAGCTCAGTGGTACAGTATTTCCTCAGCATGTGTGGGGCCATGTTTTGTATCCCCAGTACGGAGAGAACAGGAAACAAGGAAGGAACCAAGGAAGGGAGGAACAAATTGAATTATAGGCTGTCAGCTGTGGTTCTTTTCAGTAGTTCTATACTGTTTGGGTACTGTGCCAACCACAGAATGTTACATAAATCAGTTAGGTTTTTGTTCGGTACCAGGAATTGAACTTGTGCTTATTTTTTTTTTCTGTGACTCCTAAAATTGAACTCAGGGCCTGGTACATACATGCTAGGTAAGTGTCGTACCACTGAGCTAGCTTCCCAGCCTTTTTTTTGGTTTTGTTTTGTTTTTGTTTTAAACGTATTTGGCATAGGGTCTCACTATGCAGCTTGGACTCCGTGATCCTCCTGTTGTCAGCCTCCCCAGTGCTGGGGGTTACAGGCATGTGCCACCATGCCCTGCTCAGCGCGCCCGGGGGCTGGTGCTGGGGCTCGAACCCCAGTGCCTGTGCTTACCTAAGCAGGTGCTTAGTCCGCTGAGCTGATCTCGCTGGCCCTGCCTCCCAGCCTTTAAAAAAATTTTTGAGACAGCTTCACTAGGTTGCCAAAGTTGGTCTTAAAGTTATTGTCCTCTGTCACATCCTCCTGAGTAGCAGGAATAGTGCTCACGCACAGTAGTACCTGGCTTGAACTAGTGTCTTCAATAATTGTGACTGGCACATGTATTGAAAAAAAAAAATCTATTTTGGTTTTTTTTTATTCCTATAGAACCTCTAGAAGGGAGTTATAATAGTTGATTTCTATACTTGGATCTATTATCTTTAGATATCTTTGAAACAGTATATTCTTGGTTTTATTATTGGTGATTTATTTAAGTTATGAAATCAAAACTTTAGTCCTCATGTGGTATGTTATTTAGTGATCTCTAATATTGTACCTTAAATATTTCTGGAAATTTGATAATACTACTAAGTATATTTGTGTACTTTTGATCTAAACCTATCAAGATTCTTAGTTTATCTTGAGTGAACCTTTAAAAATGTCATAGGATTGTACAACTAGAATTTAATATGGAGAATAAATTTATTTTTAATAAAGTGCTGCAGTATAAAGTTAAGGATATAAGTATATTAATTACTTATTAATATAAAACATTTTAAAAAATTAATACACATATTAAGAAACATCTTATTTTATAATGCTAACCTGACAAGGTATTTTAGTAACCAGATTCTGCACTTTGATTTTTTTTTTTAATAGAAAAAATAAAAGTTCATAGCAAAATGATAGAACAGCATCGATTAGTACATTGAGTATTGTTATCATCAGAATAGTTACTTACCGTACAGGACATGGGCACAAACAGTTCTGCAAACCGTATCAGCACAGATGTTTCTTTGCAATCAACTAACAGAAACTAGTAGTGTAACTGACTTGTGTTTTGTTCTTATGAGAGCATTTTAGGAATCATTGAGTTACTACTTAAAGTAATAATTATGAATTATAATTTCATTCACACCCTTACATGTTTTCTGTATAATTCATTAAAATTGATTTTATAAGTTAAACATTATAATTGAATATATCTTGTTTGGATTATGTTTAAGGTTCTGTTTAAGAACCAGTGGATTGGCCAGGGAACTAGCTCAGTGGACTAAGCACCTACCTGGCAAGCGCAGGGACTGAGGTTTGATCCCCATTACCACAGTGCTGACCCAGGACCAGGGTGGTGGGGCACGCCTGTATTCCCAGCTCTGGGGAGGCTGAGACAGGAGGATCACCACGAGTCCAGCATGTACAGTGAGACCCTGGATCAATATACACAATTAAAAAAAATTTTGTGGGTCTTACTATGCGGTCCGGGCTGGCCTTGAACTCACCGTGTCCTCGTCTCACCTCAGAAAGATCATCCCTCTGGCCTCTGCCTCCTGGGTGCTGGATTACAAGTTTGTGCTGCCACGTCCAGTTCTCATAATTACATTTTTAAAAATATTGATTAAATCCTTGCTTTATGTAAGCTTCCTGTTCTTGGAATGTTTTGTCACATGTGCTTTCAGCCTCCCTTGGCAGGAATTCATGTGTTTAGATTTTGGGAGGCATTGACTTAAATACATCTTTTTAAAACATTGCATCATTAATTGATGTGATGACCTGTTCATTGGCCATATAAATGGGCTTAGAATTGAGTAGTGCTGTCTTGCTGAAGGTAGAGCAGAAGTGCCAGGGCAGGGGGTGGGGTGAGGCCATGACTTTTGCGCTCGCTTTTCTAGTTCTGTGTAAAAACCTTTGATTTTTGCCTTATTACCTACACATTTATAGTCATAAGAGTTTCTTTATTACCTACACATTTATAGTCATCAGAGTCAAAAGAAACTGTATAGTCATACGGTTTCTTTTAACCTTATAATTAAGTTTTCCCAAGTAACCATTTAAGATGCAAATGAAAAAATGTATTCTATGAGTGTTAAACACTTTCTTTTAAATTTGAGCCCCTAGGTTAGTTTTTCTAATTTGTTTGGCTTTTGAACCTGCTATAATGAAAAAAGGTTTCATCTCTGAACTACTATCAGTGGCAATAGTACCAGTTCCAGTTTAATTAATTCTCTTGGAATCCAGTCTGCAAAATACTTTCTCCCATAAATATTTAAAGAATTCTTAATATTTAAGATACTTAATATTTTAATGTGTTTGTCTGCTTTCAGGAGGGAAAGCTACTGGGCCTGTGCCTTTCTTTCTTCCACTTGGCCTCTGTGATCCAGTGGATTTTCAGCAGGCAGTTGTGTATATTGCAGGCTGTCGTGCACAGAAAGATGATCAGATTTGTCTTTCTGCAGAGTCTGTCTTTGGGGCAGTTGTGTGAAGACTCAGACGGTCCTTAGCAGCTCAGCACGCTCACTTTCTCCATGTCTGCTCCTTCCTAGTTTAGAAGAAGAATGTGAATCTTCTCTTTGCACATCTGCACTAAGAGCCAGGAATCTGGAGCTGTCCCAGGACATGAGAAAGATGGTGGCGGTGTTTGAGAAGCTGCAGACCTACGTGGCCCTTCTCGCCCTGCCGAGTGAGTGCATCTGCTTGCGTGGTTCCGTGGCGGCTGGAGGACAGCAGGGCGCGATGGGTTCTGCTTGTTAGAGTGAGGGCCAGGGCATCTGAGGTTAGGAGAGAGCAGAAACCCACGTCCTCTTGGGCAGAATACAGTTTCTCTCTGCCGGTTTTCTCCTTTATAAAATGTTAGGCTTTAAACATGCCTTTAAATATTAATTACCAGGCCAGGGAGGTAGCCCAGTGACGTAAGTGCCTGCCTGGCAAGTGTAAGGTCCTGAGTTCCATCCCTGGTACTGCAAAAAAAAAAAAAAAAAAAAAAAAAAAGAAAGAAAAAATGAATTACCTTTCTTTCCTTTTTTACCTGAGTCAGGGCATGTTATAAGAACTGTAGCAGCTTTCCAGCAAGGAGTCAGATGGCATTTAGTAGTAAGTATGCAATTTGTTTCTCTTTGGCCTTACTTGAAAAAAGTATTTTCAGGTCATTTCTGTGATGTTTTTAAGAATGCTGTGACTTTCCTGGGCTGAGGTGTTGCTCAGAGGAAGAGCCTTTGCCTCGCATGTGTGAGGCCCTGGGTTTGGTTCCCAGCACCCCATGCACAGTTGCTATGTGCCTGGTCCTAGGATTTTGTTTTTAAACAGCTTTTTTTGTGATGTAAATTATGCACCATATAATTTATTCATTTAAAGCATGTGATTGTAGCGTGTGTAAAGCTGGCCAAATAGCTTAGTAGATTAAAGCTCCTGCTTAGGTAGACACAGGGGCCTGGAGTTCAGTCCCCAGCCTGCCATGCCGGCCCCACCCCCAGGGTGCACTGAGACAGTGATTGAGCCTGGTGTGGTGGCACATGCCTGTAATCCCAGCACTTGGGATGCTGTAAACAGGAGGATCACTACGAGTCTGATCCACGCAGTGAGACCCTGTAGACCCTGTCCTGAAATACAAAAAATAAATAAATAAAGTGTGCGATTGAGTAGTGTTCTATTATACTTACAGACATATACACCACTATTAGTACATTCTTTTTTCGTTTGGTACCAGAAATTGAACCCAGGATCTTGCTCTTGCCTTAAGCCGCTGCGCTAGCTCCCCAGCCCGTATACACCCTTAGTACGGTCAGCTTTGGCCTATTCTCATTACCTCTAGGATAAGCCCTGCATTCTTCAGCCATCACTCTCGTGTTGCATCTCTCTTCTTGCCTCGCCTACAGCGACTTCCGGCGAGCTTTCTGTTTGTGCAGTTGCACAGTCCAGACGCCTCACCCACTTGGAGTCTGGGGTGTGCGGTCTTGCAGCACACGCTAGTACTTCATGTTTTTACATTGCAGAATAACAGTCCATTGTTTGGATGTGCCACATCTTCCTTACCCATTCTTCAGGCAGTGGTCGTTCGGGTTGTTAGCTCTTCAGAGCAGTGATGTTCAGGCTTTGTGTGGACACGGCTTTTTGTTTTGGGTAGCCAGACTTTTCTAAAGTGCTCTGCCATTTTTGTATTCTTACCAGTAATTCTTGAGAGTTCAGATTTCTGCATAGCCTCCCTAGCGCTGATTACCTGACTTGCTTCTTGCCATCCTAATGGGAATGAGGTGGTATCTGTCGTAGTTTTGACTAGCATTTCCTTGTAGTCTAATGTCTTTCATGTCCTTAGGCCACATCATTTGTGTTCTTTGGCGAAATGTCTCTTTCTCGTCTCTTCTCTTGCGACAGGGTCTTGCTAAATAGTGTAAGCCAGCCTTAAATGCATAGTCTAGCCCAGACTGGCCTCAAACTTGTGATGCTACTTCGGAGTCTGGAGTGCTGAGGTTACTGCAGGTGTGTGCTGAAACACCCAGCTCCCTTCCTCCATTTTTAAATTGAGTTACTGATCTTTTTATTACTGAGTTCTAAGTCCTTTGTTCTAGACTTAGGTCCCTTATTGGGTATGTTATTTTCCTCCATTTTGTGTGTTGGCCCTTCATGTTCCTGATGGTACCTTTTGAAGCACAGAAGTTTAATTTTGGTGAAGCCCCGTTTTTTTCCTTTGTTGCTCATGCTTTGGTGTTACACCTAAGAGCTCATTGTCCAATTGGAGTGTATAAAATCGTCTTAGAGTTCAAGTTAGCTCTTACATTTGGTCCATTTTAGTTAATTTTGATGTATAGTTCAAGGTAAAGGGTGTTTGACCCTTTGGCTGCTCGGCCCTTCGGCTGCTCGGCCCTTCGGCTGCCCACTTTGCTCTCCTCTGTGGAGTCCAGCTGTCCAGCTCCATTGGTTAAAAAGAGAATTCTTTCCTTATTACATTGTCTTAGATACTTGTTAAGAGACAGCTGACCATAGATATGTGAATGAATTTATTTCTGGGTTTCTAGTCTGTTTCTCTGATCAAACAGTTGATCCTGTGGCAGTAGTGTGTGATTAAGTTTCGAGGTCAGGAGGTGCGAGGCTCCCTCCTTTGTTCTTCCTTAGGATTGCTTTGATTGGACACATGCCTTGTAACCACGAGACTGTGAATCAGCAGGTCAGTTTCCACTGTGCAGTTGCCAGGATTCTGACAGGAATTACCTTAAATCTGAAGGTCAGCTTAGGGAGTGACTTGCCTTGTGTCCTAGAGACATGCGAAGGTCTAACTCTTGGCACAGGTGGGTCTGGCCTTTTTGGAAATGGGCTGTCTGCAGCTGTAATCAGGTTAAGAAGGGCTGACACTGAACTAGAAAGAGCCTGAAATGTAGTGGCTGGCATTGTTGTAGGCAGAGGTGATTTGGAGGCAGACGGACTCTGGGCCATATCAGATTTGTGTTGGTCCCAGCAAGGAACACCTGGGGCCAGCAGATACTGCACGAGGCCTGAGCCCAGGAGCCTTTGAAGGGAGCATGGCCCGAACAGCACCTTGATTCTGACTTCTGGCCTCTAAAACTGTTACTTGAAGCCCTTCGTCTGTGAACTTTGTTACCACAGCCCTCAAGCTCACAGGGCATCGTGGCATCCTGATACCGTCAGGTCCTCTGCTCCGTGAACGTGGCGCATGCTCTAGACCCAGTGCTGTGGCCTTGGGCTGTGCACTTTGCCTCAGGTGACAGTGGTTTGGGGGTGTCTCCCCCATGGCCCCTACCTCGTCACTTGCTGGTTTAGGCCTACTCACTGCTGACAGGGGCCATCATGTCTTCAGGATTCCTTGAGGCACACTTGCTATCAGGTAACCCAGTTAGACTTGGCTCCTCAGGAGGGCAGCTGTAGGCCCGGCGTGCAAGTAGCAGGTGCCGTTCTTAGGTCAGGGTTTGAGACTTATTCTCACCTTGCTATTCTTTCTTAGCCGCCTCTTTCCGGTACTCTGGGAAACCAGCCTGTACTTGAGCTTGTGTCTGCCATCACTTCTGCGCTTGCCTCAGGCCCCGTTGTTTTGACTTGATCTTCCCTCTGTACTGTTGCAAGTGAAGCCGTTTCCTCTGAGAAGAGATTCAGAGCTCTTGCTTTAAGGCCGGCTTTTCACTAAGGCTAAGCCTCTGAGCCGTGCATCTGGTGCTGGGACAGGCCCTGCCCTTCTTTGGAGTGACACCCCATTGGGAGCTGGATGTTCCAGGAACAGACAGCAGTAACCCAGGCCTTGTGACCCGGTTCATTTGGTGTGGACTGCACGTTACTGAGCTGGGATCCTCAGTAGTGCCTCTTGAAGGTAGAACTCCTTCATACAAGTGTTTGGAGGGTGTCTTGGCTGAACTTGCCTAGAGCTTAGCCTCAGTAACAGGTGGCTTGGGCCAGATGAGAAATCCAGGCCCTGGCCTGGATTAGAGTGACGATGTCTTGTGTGCTGGGCTCTGCCTGGTGAGAGTGTGGCTTCTAATCTCCCCGTGCTGGGAAGGGAGGACAGTAGTGTGACGGGGTTCAGGTGCCACCGACTGTTCCTGTTCTGTATTTCTTGTATATACTTAGAACTGTTTCTAGAGACTTGACGTGATTTGTTGTTTCATAGTTGTCACCAGTTTTACTGGGGAGCAGATCCATGGAGCTCATGGTGTAGGCAAAAGTAGAATTCCATGGTATTTGAAGAATTTTGTTTTAGTGCTGCAGGGAATAAAAGAAAATAACCAGGATCATTTCACAAAGGAGCAGGAAAGCCCAGTTACAACCTCGCAAATGAGCTTCCATTCTAACCCTAAAGAATGTGCATGGACAGGGGATGCGAACCGGGCAGGTGAGCCTCAGTTTATCAGTGTTATAGTGACTGTGTCCATAGAGGTTGTTGAGAACACTTACTTCTGAAATATTACGACCAGAGGTGGTGGGTAGGAGCATGCTGAGATTTGTGATTTTGCTTTCCTAGGTACACAGCCAGATGGGCTCCTGCGGACGAACTACAGTTCCGTTTTGACAAATGTTGGTGCTGCTCTGCATGGCTTCCATGATGTCATGAAAGGTGAGCACTGGAAAAGAACGTAAATGAGCGTAGAAGTCCATCCCCTCCCTCGGGCTGCCTGGAGGAGATTGCAGCGGGTGCTGCCACGGACCGCGGGCGCCAGCTCAAGGCCTGCAGCACTTGGCCCACGGGTGGTGCCCGGCTCTTGCCTTCTGCTTTCCCGGCTGCTGCTTTTTGGGGGTGAACAGAGCTGGTGAGAAACCTCGTGCGTGCACTTCAGCTCGAAAGGCTCAGCCCGACGCCATGGAAGCGTGTGGTGTCCAGTGTAGTCCCGCCAGCATGCAGGTGTGTGGCATCCAGCGAGTGCCTAGCGCTTATTAGAACGCGAGCACTAAGGAGTGGAGGAAACCGAAGTCCCCAGGAAGAACACGCTAACCCTGCGCACCATCTGTGTGCTCTGATTTTAAAATGCCTGTTCTGTGTCTTGCCTCATGTAGCATAGACTTAAGAAATGCGAGTCTTGAGTCTTAAGCCGTGGTCAGTGTGCAGCTGCTTCTGTGCCCTGCAGAGGACAGCAGCGGGGCAGAAGCAGGCCGATCCCTGCCCTTGCGTCTCTTCACGTGTGACTCAGAGTCCCGACCAGCTCCAGTCTTGAGCTGCTCTTCGTGTCCCCTACCTGCCAGGTTTCCTTCCAGAGACCTGGGGAGGGCCGCAGCAGAGCCCAGGGAGTCTGAAGGACTGCGGGAAGGGGGCCAGGTCCCTAGATGACTCGTTGGGCCATCCAGTTAACAGCTTGTGACTCATTTCACAGAAAATCATTTTTAAGATCTTAAAGCTGATTTGTGTAGCATGTGGAAGAGGGCATCCATGGTGTGCTTTTGCAGACTGGCACATACTGGTGCTGGGATTTGTCCCTTGTCCCAGCAGTGTGACTGAGCATACTTTTCTGTTGGCAGACAGCGGGTCTTCCTGGCTTATCTTCTGTTTCCCTTTAGACGTCAGTGTGCGGCAGGAGGTAGCCCAGGTGTCAGGAATCACAGCTCCATGGGTAGTTGAGCGGCTTTGACAGTTGCCATTCCTGACCCTGCAGATCTTAGTCTGTTCTACAGAAAAATCAAGGGAGAGATTTTTCCCCCCCTGCATACCCTTTGGTCTGAAAAGCCTAGGACTTGGCAGTTAGTCCTACATTCCAGATTTGTACTTAACCAAGGAATTAGGCCATCAGAAACACAAGTGCTTCTTTGGTTTGTTTTGTTTTGATTTTGGTACCGGAAATCGAACTCATGACCTCATACTTGCTAGGCAGGCGCTGTACCCTTGAGCTGTATCCCAGCCCTGGATTCTTTGTTTTGTCTTAAATTTCCAGTGAGATATTATGAGTTGTTCCTGGTAGTGTCTTCTCTAGAATTTGTTAATAGGAGCTGCTATGCCAATGGACAGCAGCTGCTCACAGGAGCCCTTGTGCTTCATTTACATAAAAAATGATTGTTTTTATTTGCTTTTTAAATTAACAATACACAGTTTTCTAAGGATGCTCTTTATCAGACATTATATAAAACGAAGAAGATGCCAAGTGGACCAAGCAAGATGTGTTACTGGCGCTGTTTGGCATGAGCTGATGGAGCTGACTGGGGGGGGGGGGTGGTCAGCAGCCCTTCACCTCCGTGCTGCTGCTTCTCTCTGTCCTTGACAAAATGAAGATAATAGGAAGAAAGAACAGGGGACATGAAAGATGCTGGCAGATGATGAGCCCTGTTGCTAGGCTGCAGTTCACGCCTCGCCTCTCACCTCTCTGAGAGACGGTTGTGTGTACCCTGCAGCGCACATCGGCTCCAGCTGCTGGGGCACAGCGCTGGTCCCATTCTAGGTCTGATCTTACGCTAAGCATTTAGCTGTTACTTCCCAAGCACGCATTGTTCACATTGATTGAAAATAGACGTGTAACAAATGACTGTAGCACCCAGGAAATGGGCCTTCGTCATGCTTGCAGGCGCTGAGGTGTGGCCACAAAATGTTTCTGTTCTGTTTTAAGAATAAATGGAAGGCTTGTTAGTCAAAAACAAAGCCAAACTACAAATGAGAACTGACACTAACAGAGTTTTTGTTTAACTAACATTTATTTTAAACCTCTACCCTTTCTGCTTTACCTTGAATAATTGCTTGACCTGACTTGGAAATGCGGGAAGGTGGATAGGCTGGTACATTCCAGTGTGAAAGGAGAGAGGGAGTTGTAAAGATGTGTATCCTGTAAGAAATTAAGATGAGAGTGAATTAATCTTTTTTTTTTTCATACCAGGGATCAAACTCAGGATCTTACGCTTGCCAGGCAGGCACTGATACTGCTGAGCTATCTCCCTGGCCAGTAAGAGTGAATTAATCTTTGAATAAGTGTCATTCCATATGAGATTTATTTGATCTTTCATCTTAGCAGCCTAAAGCAGGTAGACTTATATAAAACAAAAGGAAAATATCTTTCTATGGTTTGGGGTATGTGATTGCTTTATATATTTTTGGAGTTAAAATTGAAGCTGGGCTGGTGTTGCATAGCTGTGGTCTTAGCACTCAGGAGGCTGAGGCAGAAGCGTTGCGGAGAGTTCCAGGTGCATCTGAACCGTGTAGTGAGTTCGAGGCCAGCCTGAACTACTTGGGCAAGACCCTGTCTCAAGAGAAAACAGACCAAGACAAACAGCTCCCCAAAATTTAATACAATAATACCCTGGTTCACGAACGTTTCAATTTGCAAACAGTTCCATTCACAAATAGAAATTTTAGCAAAATTGTCCTTCCATTTGCAAACTCTGTATCAGGTGACAGACATGACTATGGCCACTTCCCTGCATGAGCACAAACGTGGCCGTGGCTCCCTCTGGTTGGGATTGCGGGTGCAGAGGACCTGGACTTGGTGCTGTGCAGCATCTGTGCAGGCTCTGAGGCGTTCCGCTCCACGTGCTGCGCGCTCCAGCGTGGGTCCCAGGCAGCGCAGAGCGGTGGTGAGGGAGACTGAGTGTGCAGTGCTGGGGAGGGAGGAGGGCTGGGAAGAGGAAGGCCGTGCGAGTGGGGGAGGGAGCGGGAGGGAGGCATGCGTGCCAGGTCCTGGGACTGGCCCGGCCTCCTCGGAGCGCAACGTAGGTGGTTAACAGTCTCGGCTATTTTGAAGAATAAAGATGCCACCAAAAGAGCTGATGTGACAGAAAGAGCCACAGTGTTAGCACAGTAGGGGACCCAAGTGCTGGATGAGGCGGGGAAACTTGTCGGTGTGGTCAGATGAGAAGCAGCTGGCGGGTGGTGGCAGGAATGAAGCTGCCACTGCGGAAGGCCAGGGAATCGCGCGGTGATGTGCTGTGAGAAGACCTCCCTGCGTGGGCAGCAAGTGAGGAGCTTACGGCCAGTGGAGGGTGGTTCGATAAATTCCACAAGAGCAGTGGCACCCATGGTTAATAAGTCGTAGCGAAGCTTCCAGTTCTGACAAGGCCACTGCAGAAGCCTGTAAGAAGCCAGGCGTGGTGGCACCCACCTGTAATTCCAGCACTCGGGAGGCTGAGGCAGGAGGGTTGTTGCGAGTTTGAGACCAGCCTGGCGTCTGTAGCATCACACTATCTCAAAAAGAAAGAAAAAAAAAGTCTGTAAGAAAGAATTCACACAATTCGTGAAGGTGGAAGGCTGTATCACCCAACAAGTGACAGCCCTGATGAACAGGGGCTCTTCTGGAAGAAGATCTGCATAGAACCTGTGTCCTGCAGGAGGAAGAAGCACAGCTGGGCACGAGCCCACAGAAGGCAGAGTGGCCCTTCTATAGGGCATGGATGGGTGCAAGTGCTGATCTGAAGACTGAACCACTAGCGGTGGGCCATTCTAGCGCGTTTAAGGAACAGACTACACAAGGCCGGGCTGCCTGTCTCGTGGAGGGCCAATTCGAAAGCTTGGGTCACAGGCAGCTGTTCATGGCGTGGGTGCATGAAGTGTGCACCCACCAGTAAGCAACAGCTGCCCCAGAGGTGCCTTCTTCTGGCGGGCAGTGGCGGGCACGCCCTGCGGCCTCAGTAGAGGACACGGACACGTGATAAAGGTCGAGTGCCCTCGCCTTTCACCCAGTTCTGCAGCCCATGGCCCACAAGCGGTCTGCATCGTGAAGCTGTGCGCAGTGGCGCTCTTCGCTGGGTGTTTGTCACGGGAGAGACGTTCTTGACTCCGAGAGTTTTAGAAGCAACATTTCCAAGCGCTCCCCTGCATCACCCTCACTGACAGTGCCTGGAAGATGGCTCCTACTGGACCTTAAAAGACTGGAGCAGACTGTGGCCAGAGTGTGTCCCCGGATGCAGAGGACGCTGTGTCTGTGGGCAGGAGTGGGTCTGGGAGTCCGTGGTGTGGACGTAGAGGAGCCGGTGAGGACCGAGAGGAGGGCTGACGATGGGGCACTGTGCTGAGCCGCAGAGTGAGCCGTGTGCAGAAGGAAGACGCGTGTTCCTCATGCACGGCAGAGGAGGAGGCTGGGAGGAGGCGAGCAGTGGCGAGCCAGCGCCCGTTCTGGCCAGGTGGAGTGAGGGCCAGGGCTTTTGGGTTTTTTTTTGTTTTTTGTGTGTATTTGGTAAGGGTCTCACTATGCAGCTTGTCCTCCTAGTAATCCTCCTGTCTCAGCCTCCCCAGTGCCACCATGCGTGGTCTCAATGGCCAGCTCAGCGTGTCTGGGGCGGGGCTGGAGAAGCACCACCCCAGCATCACAGCAACACACAGTTGGATCTGATGAACGATGAGGTGGTCTCATCTCCAGAGTGTCATACGGCACAGGAGGAACAAGTGACACTAGGGTTTTCATCACCATTGACCCTGCAGCTCGGGGACAGGGAAGAGGGGAAACCCTGAAGGAGATCTCTTCAGGGTCCTTGTGGAGAAGTCTCTCCCTCTGAACAGAACCCCCTCCCCACCTACCTTCCTGTCCTCCACACACGAAGTTTTTAGCAACCAGTGCTGGGAAAACTGATTGTCCATATGCAGAAAAATGAGTCTAGACCCCTATCTCTCACCCTGTACTAAAGCAAAATCAAAGTAGACTACAGACCTAGATATTAAAACAGATGCACTGAATCTACTGGAAAATAAAGTGGGTAAGGGCTTTCTGAATGGAATCCCAGGCACACAAGAAATAACACTAAGAGCCAGCAATGGGGTGATATCAAATTAAAATGCTTTGGCAGGGGCTGGGGATGTAGCTCAGTGGCCCAAGTGCCTGCCTGGCAAGTGCAAAGTCCAGAGTTCCATCCTGGTATGTCCCTCCCTCCCCCCAAAAAAGGTTTACATTTTGGGGCTGGGGGGATAGCTTGACACTCTAAGAACCTGCCTGGCAAATGCAAGGTCCCAAGTTCGATCCTCAGTACCACATGTCGTGCCGGCTCTGAAACACAACTGTCATCCCAGTGCTGGGGAGGCTGAGACAGGAGGATTACTATGAGTCTGAGCTGCATAGTGACACCCTGTATCAAAAAAAAAAAACCAACATGCTTTGCTGTAGCAAAGGGCACAACCCGTGAGTGAAGAAACAACCTACAGGATGGGAAGAAACTTTTGCTTTTGCCAGGTTCTTATACAGAAGACTCTTGTCTGGAACACACACTTAAAGAACTCACAGCAGGAGACACAGCGAGGTTGTGAAAACAGCATCCCTCGGCATCCGAGCCATCGGGAAGCAGTGTGGAGGGGCCTTGGGAAACTAAAAAGAGAGGTTCTGTGCTGCCAGCCCTTCCTAACTGGGTGGCTTCCTGAGTCACAGCGATCCGTGCGCTCCCACGCTGAGCAGCGTGGCTTGCAGCAGCGGAGCCTTGGAAGCAGCCTACTCATGAGTCCAGGAGCACATTGACTAGATGAAGAAAATGTGCTGTGTATGCACCATAGAATAGTGGACAGCCATAAAGGAGGACAGTGTGAGTCATTTAGGAAGATGGATACACCTTGAAGTCATAATGCTAACTGGGAAAAGCAGACACAAGGTTAAATATTGTGTTTTCTCTTAAGTGAGAGACCAGGAGTATCAATACCGAGCAAAATAAAAGACAGATGGTTGGATGGTGGGTCTTCTGTGGAGAGGAAGGGAACTTAGGAATGGAGGGAGGGAAGGGGAGGCAATGAGGAGTAGGGCTTGACGTGTGTGCAGCACCCCATGCTGACGGCACATGCACCCTAACAGGAGAGGAAAGGGGCTCTCTTAACTAATTCAAGTATTTGGGTCAACCAAAGATTTGGGAGAAGTACAGCAACGTCGTTTTTTAGTATTACACCCTCTTTGATTTAAAAAAAAAATTATGTATTTGGTGCAGGGTCTTGCTGTGCATGTCAGACGGAGAGAATGAACCTCCTGTTTCAGCCCTCCAGCGCTGGGGTTACAGGTGTGCGCCACCATGCCCAGTTTCAGTGGCTGGCACAGCCTGTGGTGCCAGGGATCGAATCCCAGTCCCTGTGCTTGCCTAAGCAAGCTCTTAGTCCACTGAGCTGTCTCATTGGGAGTATTGCACCCCTTTCAAAAGCCCCTCAGTTATCTGTTAAACAACCAGGATTACCTAATAACAAGTCATACACTGCACACACTTCTAGTAGAATGCTGAAGAAAACTGTCCATGGTGTGTAGCCAGAAAATAGCTGCTTCAGGGACTAGCAGATTCGGTACATAGTGTTCTAATCTATTCTAATTCAATTTTTATACAGTTGGCTGTCTGTAAACTACAAACAGTTGTTTATTTTAAAAAACACATTGAATATAGGCTGAGCGTGGTGGTACACACCTGTAATTTCGGTACTCAGGAGGCTGAGGCAAGAGGATCACCACTTTGAACCCATCCTGGGTTAACTTAGAGTGATCTGGTTAGACTATCTGAAAATAAAAAGTCAAGTAAGAGCTGGAGTTACAGCTCAGTGTGAAGCCTTGGGTTCAGTCCCAAGACCAGAAAAATAAAGTCAGTGGCGGCTATATTACAAATACATTTGTCTGTACCTAAACATTAACTACCCTTCATTGTAAGCCAGTGCTGTTATAATTCTCCCAGTTTCCCTTATTTCCAGTACAAGCTCATGTCTCTGAGACCCCAGAACTCGGAAGCGTCGCCCTGCGGCAGCACCCTCTCCCGCTCCTCTCTGAACCCTTTCTTTCTAGCCTCTCCTCTGTGCCTCCAGCTCAGGCCTGAGCTGGGATTCCATTGCGGTGGTGCTGTTGGGCCCAAAGCAGAGCTTGGGAAGCCGCCCGCGCGGTGTCCTGTCCCTGCTTGGGCCGTGTGACAAGGGGTCCTGTGGGCTGCTCCTCTAAGCACCAGCCAGTTTCCTTGGTGCTGCTAGACTGTCCGACGTGCTTCTACCTGTGAACCCTGGTCAGGACCCCATGCTCGACGCTGAAGTCAGGGCTGGTCCTGAGGGCAGGCCGCCTGAGGCCCGGCTGCTGCCGCGGGACAGGCCTGCTGAAACCCTCCCTTGTCTCGGTTCTTTCCGCGTAGATTGGGAGCCCCCGGCGGATCCTTGGTGCAATCCTGAAACTGGGAACTTCTGTTTGTCAAATTTGCTTTGTAAACTTACAAGAGGGGGTAGGAGGAGTGGGCTAGTCATCTGCATGTACAGATAGTAACGAGTTTTCCTTCTAATGCGTTTGTAGATATTTCTAAACATTACAGTCAAAAAGCTGCAATAGAGCATGAACTCCCCACGGCGACACAGAAGCTGGTGACGACTAACGACTGCATCCTGTCGTCGGTGGTGGCATTGACCAGCGGGGCGGGCAAGGTACTTTCTCTGACTTCTTTTGGCTATAATTTTAATTTTAAACGCAGCCGGTTATGTTTGTCTAATGACAGGAAAATTGATCTGTACAAGGACTTTGGACTGTAAATCCTTCTGTAGTCTCTCTCCATTTTCTATATCCAATTGTTTGTTTTATTTATTTTATTTTTTTATACAGGGTCTCTACGTAGCTTGGACTCAGAGTGATCCTCCTGTCCCAGCCTTCCCAGCACTGGGATTATAGCTGTGTGCCGCCACACCCAGTTTTGGTTGCTGGCACAGCATGTGGTGCCAGGGAGAGAACTCGGGTCCTTGCGCTTGCCAGACAGGCTGGCTTAGACCACTGAGCTATCTCCCCAGCCTCCAATTTTTGTGTTATTAATCTTTTAAAACTTTCTTATTTTTAATTATTAGTACATGTTTGTAGTATCTAACTCAATTTTTCTTTATTTTTAATTTTTTTCAGCTTTGGATATAATGAGCTACTCAGTATGTAAAACATTGCAGTAGTAACTGACGTGTTTGCGCACATCACTCACGCTCTGCCTCAGTGCAAGACTGGGCAGTGTGAAGATTGGAAATAGGCCCTTGTGACGATCAGGGTTCTGCTACAAAACAGGGGGCACGTGGAAAAGGAAAAGGGGTCTGATGCCACCCCTGTTACTGTTTCGCCACACCCCACTTCTCTGGGTTTTTTTTTTTTTTTTTTGTATCACTTACGCGACAGTCCTGCCTCTGTGGTTTTGTATTTTAGCAGCTTCTTTAAAGTGACTTTACTGTGCGTCTTTGGTCGCACTGCTGCTGCCAGGTGATGCACAGGGCCGCTCCTGCCTGCTTCCTGGCACCTGGCCTCCGTGGGCCGTGCTCTCTCGTGGTGGGCTGGCCTCCGTGGGTGCCTCAGCAGCACGACCGCGGCCCCGCGCAGTCACGGCTCCAGGCCCCGAGTCTGCATCCGGCCCCGAACTGCCTCAGCCCGTTTGTTACGGCAGCCCAGCAGGATTTCTCAAGGAAATACTCATCTCTGTGTCTGTATTTGTATTTCATTCTTTTTAAAAAAGTTTTTATTTTTATCAGTACATGTTTTCTGTACATAATGAAATGATTATATCCGTCCTAAAGAGTTGGCACGTGAACATTACACATTTCAGCTTCATTTTTTTTTTTTTTTTTCAAGTTCACATGGTTGTAATATGTTTTCTTCAGGTGCTTTAAATCAGGTCAGAAGTGAGCATAGGTCATGCTGGACAGTCGGCGCAGCCTTCCTAAACTTGGGCTGACCTGTTTGACGGTTGGCAGAGGGCCGTAAGTGTGTGTGTGCTGGTTTGGTTTGGTTTTAGCAGTAGCAGGCTGACTCCAAAGCTCTTTTTCATTTTGAGACGGGGTCACACCAAGTGGCCGCGCTCTGCCTGCCCGAGAGCTGCTTCCCAGGGTCTCTTGCTGACCCCTTTCAGCTGCCTCATGTGCAGGTGCCGAACTCTTTCTCAGGATGACTTTGAGTCTGTTGAAAAATTGTGAGAAAGATGTTGATATTCTATACGAGTCTGTGCATTTCCTCCTTTTTAAGAAAACACGAAACTATTAAAGCTATATATTTCCTAGTTTATTAGCTTTACTTTGCCTGAAACCTTAAAGTATCACAGGGAAAGGTATCTGTTTATTTACTGAGACTGCAGCTCAAAGTTTTGAAATACTTTTTCATTAAATACTGTTTAGCATAGTTATTAACATCGTAAAGTGTTAACATAAAACATAACCTTCAAATTATCAGTAACTGCTTAATTTTAGAGCAGTTTTTGTCAAGATAGAACAATCTGCTTTACAGGTCGCTTTTTTGTATTTATCAAGATAGAATCCTCTTATTGAGTAAGACTATTTTTCTTTTTTCTTTTTCTTTTTTTTTTTTTTTTTTTTGGCAGAACCGGGGATTGAACTCAGGCCCTTGCGCTTGCCAGGGAAGCACTTATTCCACTGAGCCATCTCCCCGGCCCCTATTTTTCTAGCTAGGGTGCTTAGTCAGGAATTTTTGTTTTGGGCCGGCCAGATAGCTCAGTGGACTAAAATGCCTTCTTAGGCAGATGCAGGGATCGGGGTTCGATCCCCAGCAGGGCAAACTGAGACAGCCGTTGGGACTGGGCATGCCTGTAATCCCAGTGTTTGGGAGGCTGGAAACAGGATTGCTACGAGTCTAATCTGTGTAGTGAGACCCTGTAGATCCTGTACTAAATCCACCATTTCATATCGCACTGTGGGGTCAAAATGATGTCTCAGCAAAAATATAGTCAGAGATCTTGACTGCTTATATAGACTTAAATCTGTAAAATCTCTTTAGTCTATTGAATTTTTGGTCTTTTTTCTATTTATAATTCACAAATTGAAACTCACAGAATTAAATTTAGATAATGATTATATATTCTAGTTATTTATGTCATGAATTCTTTTTTTTTGCGGAGCTGGGGATTGAACTCAGACCTTTGTGCTTGCCAGGGAAGCACTTATTCCACTGAGCCATCTCCCCGCCCCTCCCTCCCTTTTTTTTTGCGGAGGCAGAGTGGCACATGGCAGAGGGCAGCTTTTTTTTTTTTTTTTTTTTTAGTGGAACTGGGGATTGAACTGAGGCCCTTGCACTTGCCAGGCAGGCACTTATTCTACTGAGCCATCTCCCCAGCCTTATGTCATGAATTCTGTTGAAATGAAAATGTTTGGTATGATAATATAAATTGAACAAATATATCCAAAGATATTTTGAGATCAGAGTAGAAATTAATGAGGTAAATAGCTTAGGAAACTCAACTGCAGAATCAGTCAGAATCAGTCTTGGTTTTCACGAAGAACAGACATTGTCTAGAATAGGCCATATCACAATTCAGTTTGTCTCTGTGTCTGTCTGTCTGTCTGTCTGTCTGTCTCTCTCTCTCTCTCTCAATCCTCCTGCCTTAGCCTTCCGAGTGCTGGGGTTATGGGCATGCGCCACCACACCTGGCAGCAGTCAGTTCTGTGTGTATACTATTCGTCCTTTGATTATGTTTCATTGCCTAGGTCAGTGGTGGCAAGCCACAGTACATTGCTTATTATCGTTGAAAGCTCTAAAACGTTTGCCATCATTGGCCTAGGTGTTCTCAGGTAGTAGATGTGGGTTTTTGGCAGGTGCTTACATTTCATTTCCATTTAAGGATCTTTAAACTTCTCTGAAAGCTACTAGGTATGAATTACATTACTGTTAGAAAAAAGAAGCTGTCTTCTTGTCGTTCGCTGTTTAGATGGCGTCTTTCTTCAGCAACAATGCGGACTACTTCATTGCTTCACTCAGCTACGGGCCCCGCGCTGGAGCCGCCAGCAGGTTCGTCAGCCCCCCGGCAGCGGCGTGCATGCTGCAGTACAAGAAGAGAGCGGCCGCCTACATGAGGGCCCTGAGAAAGGTGCGTGTACTCTGGGGAGACCAAGGACCGTCCCAGAGCATGGCCAGGGCTTTCCCACGTCCGTGTTGTTTAGACTTCCCCAGTTTTGGGGGTGAAGGTGTTTAGTGAGTGTTGGGAGGCGTCTTTCAGAAAGAGCAAGCGACAGAGACCCAAACTTCATGGGAAGGAGCAGGCCCTGTGGACTCTGCAGTGTGCGTGGGGTGAAGTAGCCAATGGGCAATGAAGACTCCATGTCAACAGATCTTACCTTGTAGAAGCACAAATATGTAAATATCTTTATAATTTTTCTAAGTATATTTGAGCACACATGATCATTTCAAAAAATGTCAAAAGAGGGCCATCCACGGGGGCTGAGAGATGGCTCAGTAGTCTGAAGCACCTACTTGGAGCAAGCTTGGGAAAGCACAGGGACCGTGGTTCGA